ATTCCATTAGAATCCTTCCCAAATTTGTTTGGAATGCTCTCAAAAGTTCTTTGATATTCTCCTTGAAATCTTCCTCGTCATGAAAATCACCTTCAGGTTCAAAATCCTGGAATTTTTGTCAGAATTGGAAATCTTGTTAGCTTTCTCTAGCGATATTCATCCGAATTTCTGCGGGATTATTTTCAGAATTCCCAATGCCTTCTGCTTAAAATTCCGTTCGAATTATTCAGGGTTTCGGAGTTGCGCCAGAGTCGAATCGAAAGCACCAGATATGCACCCCTATTCTGTATTTCGTTTCGAACAAAATTCTCACACAAAAAAATATTTTTTTGTATGAGAATTTCGTTTGAAACGAAATACAGAATAGGGGTGATGATCTCAGATCCAGATCCTAGATCGTTTTCGACCAGACTCTGCAGCCCTGGGATTATCCCAGAAATTCCAGTTTAAGCAGTAACCGGGATGTTTTATAGCCATGTGTGAAGGAAACATCTCGATATAAATCTACAAAAAAGGCTTACTTAATCGCGTGAAGTTTTCAGCAAGTTCATGATCCGTTTTTACCTTAATTTAATCCGAGAACAGGTCCTTGGCATGAACATTTTCACACCCTTAGAAGCCCTTTTCTGACTGTTTCCGAACTTAACGCTAGGGGTCTTTAATCACATTATATTATTTTCCCTTGAGCCCAAATTTAGCCAAACTTTAATTCGCGGCCGGATTTTTCCGGTGGGAAATCGTAGAAAAAGCGCTTTTACCACCACAATTCTGTAAGTTAATTCCATCTCAATTGCAATAGCAGCAACATCACCATACTAAAACTTCACTGAGAAGCTAATTGTCCCAGCTAACCAGGTTTACAATGAAGACCTACAGTATTCAATAAATCCATCCTAGGCTATGCTACTCCAAACAATAAATAAATATTTCAAACAAGCACGACCATTATCCTAAATTCTCATTTAGTTGATTCTCTGAGTTAATCAGGCTGTTTAGAACACAATAAGGAACAAGAACTACACTTATTCAGAAAAAAGCATCCTCTTCTCTTAACTCTATACCATCCTTGCATTTTCTCAAAGGCGCTCCAATGCGCTCAAAGGAAAATGCTCATCATCCGATGGGAATGAAGGGTACGGGTCATTAGGACGAATGGCACTAGGTCGAATGCCATTGGGCCGAACACCATTAGACCGAAAGTCCGAAAGGGTAATTAGGCCGAAAAACTATTATATCAGAGCCGTACCAACCGGTGGAAACTAACGATTTTAAATTGGCTCACTACTTGACTAGCCTATTGGTCCCAAGCAAATCGATTAACGTACCTCATTCTAGTCAAAATTCTAGTACCACACAGTGTTTGTTTTGATTCGCTATGAAAGTTTGACAGATAAAATGAGGGGTTCGTGGATTTTCCTATGTTTCGAGGGGTACATCGATTAGCTTGGGACCGAAGATAGTACCAGAGCTGAGCCAAAAAGTTGAGCACGTTTCTTCGGGACCTACTAGTCTTAGAGACCTCTATGGCCGTACTCAGGATTTTTCCTTAAGGGTTACGTAAAAGAGACAACCCAGGGAACCCAGAGGTATTTACAGAAAAATCTTCAACCAGATCAACTAGATGTTTTCACCTGTCTTCTCCGCTACTTTTAAAATTTGTAGCCGGGCGAAGGAATTCAATATTTGAGATGTATGAAAATGATTATTCGCAGAAGTTCGGTACATTCTTAGAAGTCAAGGGCAATACGTTAACATTAAGAGAACATCATTTGATTTCAGAGAAATTCGAAGAAGCTTGAAGGACTTCATAAAAGTAAAGGCAACGTTGTAGAATTTCAAGAAACATCGTAGAACTTTCGAAAACTTTGTAGACATTAATTGAACTATGTAGAATTTCTGGAAACTTTCTAGAAGTGCAGCAAATTTCAAATAGAAATAGAAGCTCAGTCACAGTTGTCCATACACAATTTTTAAAATTTGTATGGTCCGTGGATAAGTGCCAACCCCCCTCCCTCTTACTGTCTACATAGTTAATGAACAGCTCCTTAATAGAACTCCAGAGAATTTTGAAGAACTAACTTCGGCAGGTTTAAAATTGATTACTGGTTGTGTATGTGTAGGCTAGACTAGACTAACTTCAGCAAGTGTTATGGAAGTTCAGAGAACTTTTTAGAACTTCATCAAACATTGTTTTTTTTAGCAACATTAAGTGAAATTTTAAGAAGAGGAACATCGATGAAGCTCCAATATTTTTCTTTAACTTCATTAGACTTTTTAAAACTTTAAGAATTCAAGGGTCATCGTAGGAATACAGTTAAATAAATATAAATTCATGGAACTCAGAGAATTTCGAAGAAATTCGGGGAACTTTGTACAAGTTTGGGAAACTTCGTTGAAGTTTAGAAAACATTGTTTGATTTAAAGAAACTTAATTAAAGTTCTGTTAGCTTCAGGGCAATTCGTTAAAGTTTTATAGACTTAAAATAGATCAGAAAATTCCGTGGAAATTCAGGAAACTTTGTAGAGCTTCTAAGGACTTTGAAGAAAATCAACGAAATCTTAAAAAGTTCAGTAAACTTTTTAGAAGTGCAGCAAACTTAACAGGAATTCTGAGAAATTTGTAGAAGTCAAATAGAAACATAATAGAACATCATATAAGTCAAGAAGAAACATCGTAGAACTTTCGAAAACTGTGTAGACATGAATTGAACTGCGTAGAATTTCTGGAAACTTTCTAAAAGTGCAGCAAGTTTCATTGAAGTTCAACTAAATTTGTAAAAACTCTACAAACGTTATAGAAGCTCAGTGAACTTAATAGTAACCAGAGAATTTTGTAGAACTAACTTCAACCAATTTTATTATTGTGTACGGACTGTGGCTAGGCTAGACTAGGCTATAGACTAACTTCAGCCAGTTTTATGGAAGTTCAATAACTTTAGTAGACTTTTTTTTAATTTCAAGGATTTTGTTCAAGGGTCATCGTAGAAACACATAACACATAATATAAATTCAGGGAACTTCATAGATAGACCCTCAGAGAAATGAAAAGAAATTCAGAGTGCATTGTAAAAATTCAGAAAAGCTTGTAAAATTGGAAACTTTGTACAAGTTTGGTAAACTTTGTTGAAGTTTTGAAAACTTTGTTGAAGTTTTGAAAACTTTGTTTAATTTTAAGAAACTTAATAAAAATTCTTAAAATAGATTTGGAAATTCAGGAAACTTTGTAGAACTTCTAAGACTTAGCATATCATAGCATATGCGATTGCACAAATCGTGGGGGCTGTATAATGGTCAACAAATACATTTTGCAGAAAATATCGTGTGTTGCCGTGAAAAAACACTTGGGATTAGTGCTTTTTTCCACACATCAAAATGTGCAAAACAAGCATCGCATTTTGCACCTGGCCACATCCTTACAATCGCAGAGGATAGGAAGAAAAAATAGTTCAACATCTACTTGTAGAGCTTCTAAGACTTTAGCAGAAAATCAACGAAATTCTAAAAAGTTCAGTGAACTTAACAGGAATACTGATAACTTTGTCGAAGTCAAGCAAACAATTCAATGCACTCGTAAAATTTCATACAAGTGATGGCATTTTTTTTAAAGTTCAATGAACTTCTAAGTTAGGCCAAAATTGTGGAAGCTCAGCTCGTTCAGACAATTTTACACTTCAGGGTTTGATTTGAGGATATTACTGGATGTTGTGGGATTTTTATTTCGCCCAGATGATTAGGAACATTCGTAGAGAATTAATTAATTAATTTAGCTTTATTTAGGAGGCTTTCAGCCTTAGGCTGGTTCGCCTCCGAAGATTCGTAGAGAAGGTTCAAGGTGTTTCCTGAAATTTGGAGAAGGCGATGAATGTTCTGAGGTCTTGGTCAAATTGAGATAACTTTGAAAAAAATAACCATGGAGCTTGGAAGAAGTTTATGGAACTTCGGAGAAATTGAAAAAAAATTTAAACAATTTAAAGAGTTAATTTGAAAAAAAAATGATGCAAAAATTTGCAAGTTGCTGTCCCTAAAACTTTAATTCGTAAGTTCAAGTTCAAGGTCTGAAATTTATTCTGTACAAGGTTTTGTATTTTTTTTCTCAAAAATTGGAACTTAAGTGATGTTTTCACTAAATAAATTCAAAAACTAAATCCCACCGTGAATTAAAAATTCGTATTACCACTAAAAACAAGTTTGACACCTAAAAACAAAATTAAAACATGCATATTTTTGCAAGACCTTGAGCAAAAAACATATAGCGTTAAAATTATTAACTGCTCTATTGCTATTCCATTCCATTCTAATTCAATAAAATTTAATGTTTTCTCAAACCATATGAATTTTTAACATAGAAGCGATTGTTTTGGCTTGGCAACAATAAATTCATCTTTAGACATGTACTCCAATCCCAAATTTTTCTGATATTTTGATTTATTAATGTTTAAACCATGTATCTGCCTGGAATTTAAACTTCTTTCGACTATGTGATTTTTAGGTCTATTTTTGTGATTTGGCACTTAATAAAAAATAAAAATAATTAGTTTTGGATTAACCTAGTACTATACTCTTACTGAAGTAATTTGAGAGCTACTGAAACTACTTTAGAAGCGTTCAAATAGAATAGAGTTCCAATTTTTTTAAAGCAAATGAAACTCACTGAAACTATACATAGAACTCCCTTTAAACAAAATTTTACCCACAATTGACCCAGTACAGCAGAACGACTGTAAAAGCAAGCGAAAACAATTGAAGGTTGCTAGCATCTAGTTAAGAACTACTGCATCACACACGGAGTAGCAAAGAGAAAAAGCCTTCTGATTTGCCATCGGAGGGGGAGGGGACAGCAACACCACCAATGGCAAAATAGCATTGAAATGAAGAGTGACATGAGAAACAAAAAAAAAAGTCATTCTTGCTTGGTGCCAAACCGTCAGCAGCCAGTAGCTAATCGGTGACACGGACAAGGGAGCCGGTTTTTGCATTAAGTTTTTTTTTTGCACGGATACCTACTGACCACCATCAGCAAAAGGCTGCGACCAAGATTGATGAAAACGGCGCAACGCACTAAAGTGAAAAGATCCTTCAAATGTTCAGCTTCTTTTCCGTCTCCGCACTCGGAACTGGGTACGAACAGACACCCTGCTCCTGATGCTAAATTCTTCCGAGTTTTTCACCTTTTGCCAATCCGATCCGAATCCGAACACGATAAACTTTGGCGAAAAAAAACTGGCTTGCACAATGTCAATCCACTGTTGGTCACTTTAATGCACTACCCAACTTCACTTGTAACAATTTCTACAACACGATGGGAGCAGCCAAAATGTACAAAAATTATTTTTCTTGACACAAACAGTATGCAGCGGCTGATGATGCTTTGTTGTTCCAAAAGCAAGACATTTTGCTCAAACACTCTGCTGCTGCTGCTGCGAGAAATCCCGTCTGCACTTTTTTACATACTGCGAACCGAAAGGTCTACGGAAGAGAAAGAAGATTTTTTTCTTTCACGAACTCCAAGAGTGTGTGCGTGAGATTGACTGTCAAAAGCTTTTCTGACGGCGGAGATCAATGAATTTTCAGAAAGGGTGCACAGATTGCTAAAAGCGGTTGGTAAGTAAAAATAATAACGTAACCACAAATCCTGACGTCACGATTAGCACAGGCAGCATACGAAGTACTGCGTATGTGGTTGTATTGCAGAACAGTGGTGTCACTCACACAGCTTAACCGAGTGTTGTACCTCGGTAATGTAATCCTTGGGCGGAATCCCGTTACTGAATTATTAAACACACTATTTCAAAACACCCATAATTTGAGTATTACCCATCCACACACAGCAAAAAAAAATGTTGTATATTTTCATACAACAGCTTGAATGGGCTGGTTCTACACGCTCGATGTCAATTTTACAAGATCTGGCCCAACCGGCTTATTGGGATTAGTGATATGTGGAAATGTTTAGTTGTGTTCGTATTTCATCACAATGTTTATCTTTTTCACGAAACAGCTGTTTTCTGTGACGACACGTCTGCCATTCGCAGTATGGAATGTCATTCGCTTTGTCAGCAATGTTTACAACATTTTTGCTTCTAACACCAGCAAGTTGCCTGTAGTTCCAGACCTACACGGTTAGAAAAAAGTACCCAAAAATAAGTTCTTTTCACTCATCTCGGCACTATAGTGCAGGAACCCAAAAGTAGGTAAAGCGGGTCAAAGTAATTTTCATTTACTTGTGTGCAATTCGTATGGAATTTTCCACTAGCTTTCAATCCAAAAGTAAGTTAGTTGTACCCAACAGTAGGTAAATATGATTATACTCAACGTTGGGTTCCCACACTTTACTACCCCTGTTGGGTGGTTTTGCTCCTCAGTTTTTGACAACATTAGAAGGAGAATAGGAGACAAACTAGTCAAAAGAAGGTAAAAGTGCACTGGCCGTTGGGTACTTTTTTCTTACGGTGTAGTATGATTGACATAGCTACACGCTAAGATGCACTAGAGTCGGTGTATAATGAGTCACGCCAAGAGAAACACAGTTGAACTCGCATCACGGTTTTCGAAAGATTCCCTTTCTTTTCACTTGGCAACAGAGGACTGCTACATCAACTTCAAATGACTTCTAGCGAGCAAAAAAAAATAGCGGCTGTTGTAAATCATTCTATCAGTGATTTTGTCCAATCATCTTAACAAAAAATAGTAGAAATTCTCATTACTGATCGTAACCAAACGTATCCCATGACAATTTAATGCTCACTGCGTGTTTATGATCATTTCTTCGATTATATTTTATATTTTATTGCGATACCTTTCGTGGACCTTTCATAGCATCGTAATGTTTGTTTACTTTGCACGATAAGGTGATATCGGATCTTCGGATAAAAAAAGAAACGCAACCGACTCCACATACAGTCTGTATCAAACTCACGCTTTATTCTCTTTGCTGCGTATACCATAGCTCATAAGTGTATTAGTGATATCTCCGTAGTAATGAATCTTAACACATACCATTGACTGACCAACTCCGACACTACACTCACCTTTTTCTCAATAGTCTTGTACTGTACGCAAAAGATAGTCTTCAAGATACTCCGGTCTCTTTATTTCTCGGTGGGGCCGTTCCTTGCTGAATGGTCCTGAAACAATCTCCGGGTTTTCCGTTCCTTGTGTTGGTTCCACAGCTTGTTGATCTTGTGATTCTTTTGCATCATTCCTTTGCGATGGCATGTCTTCTATAACGTCCTGTGTGTTCGAAATAATGGGCTTTAGATGAGTCACGTTTCTATGAAATATTTTTCCAGACTCCATTGATTTAACAATGACATCTGATCCCTCTCTACTGAGTACTACAAGTTCTTCAGGGCTGAAATTTGACGCCAACTTATTCTCCCTAGACATTCTTTTCGCCACTACTACATCTCCACCCTTCAATGGGTTCGGCTTGGCTTTACGTTTGATGTCCGCATACTCTCCTTCTTTCATTTTTCTATCGCGATCTCTGTCTTGAACCTCTTCGATAGATTTCATACCAACCGATGGAAATCCTGGCAGCTTATCTCGAAGCACTCTTCCAAACATCAGTGCTGATGGAGCTACCCCGGTAGTTGAGTGCGGGGTTGAGTTGTACATCAACAAATACATACGTAAGTCCCACTTCCAGTCAGATTTGGATGTCTGACTGATCTGCAGTCGTTTCTTGAGTGCTCTATTCGCTCTTTCTACTTCCCCATTGGCTTGTGGCCAATAGGGAGTAGTTTTACGAAGTTTAACTCCGTATTCCTTACAGAACTCTTTCAAAGCTTCACTCACGAATTGTGGCCCATTGTCTGATTTCATCGTTTCCGGAATTCCAAAACGGCAAAATGTTTCATGTAGTGCTTGTATAGTACTTTTTGCAGAAATTTCCTTCATTACAATAACCTCCACAAAACGGCTATAATAATCCACTATAACCAACAAATTATGACCAGAAGGCAATGGACCCATAAAATCAACTGCTATGTGAATCCAAGGCCTATCGGGCATCGCTGTACGAATCATAGGTTCTGGAGCAGTAGTATTCAATACCAATGTACAATCTCGGCAATTTTTGACAAATTGTTCAACCTTTCTGCCGAAGACGTCTCTTCATGACGACCATCCCTGGATGCCCTTCATGTGCCAACTCCAGTGTTCGACGACGCAGCCCCTCCGGAATAATTATCCTCTCCCCTCGCAAAAGTACTCCCGATGATACACAAAGCTCTGAACCATATGCTTTGTAGGGTTTGGCTTGTCCTGTCCAATCTTCTTGGTCTAACGCCTTAATGACCTCCTGGATCTCCTCATCTCTACTAGTCTCGTTCTGAATTTCCTGTACCGTAATTGCCACTGGTGCTGACATAATAGTTAACATTTGCACGTAACCTTCATTATCAGGATCAAAACTTTCTATTCCCTCATCCGAAACTGATAATCTTGACAATGCATCCGCCAAATTCGTTGGTCCTGGTTGATACACAATTTTATAGCTATATGATTGCAAACGCAATACCCAACGTTAAAGCCTAGCACATGGTCTCGACCTAGGACTGAAAAGAAATTGCAGCGGCTTGCAATCCGTGAGCAACACAAATCTGGTGCCCTGCAAGTACAGCTTGAAACGATCTACCGCCCAAACTAACGCCAGTGCTTCTCTTTCAGTTTGAAAGTATTTTCGTTCCAGCGCTGTCAACGATTTACTGGCATACGCAATTATTCTTGTTTGTTTATTCTTATTCTCCTGCATCAAAACGGCACCTAGTCCACATGGGCTTGCATCAGCTACCAATATAGTTTTGTCTTTAGGGTTGAAGAACCCTAGATTGTTGATTTTTGATGCAGCTTGTTTAATTTCCTCGAATGCCAACTGATGAGCTGACGTCCACTGGAATTTAGTTTCCTTCCTCAACAGAGCACGCAATACATCCGTTTTAGATGCCAGGTGAGGAATAAATCTACCTACATAGGTGATAAGCCCTAAAAAACTTCTGAGTTCTGCAGTGTTTTCCGGTCTTCGAAATTGTTCCACCGCCCTTACACGACTTTCTGTTGGTTTTACCCCCTCGACTGACAGGTTGTGTCCCAGAAATTCGAGCTCATCTACGTTATACTTGCATTTTTCATCATTTAGAAGCACATTATACTCTTTTAAACGGTTCAATAGATTGATTAAGCGGATATCGTGTTCTTCTTGCGTGCTACCCCAGACCATGACATCATCGAGGTAAACTATCACCCCTTCTAAGCCCGCTACTAATTCATCCATGACTTTTTGGAAAGTTTCCGGCGCACAACTAATGCCAAACATCAGCCGTTTGTATCTGAGTTCGAAAATTAAATATCTTAAGTTAGTTTAACCATTCATTTATTCATTCGGTACAGCAAAAAGAAAATCCCTATTTAAAAACTTACCGGAACAATCCGTATTTTGTTATGAATGTTGTGATCACGCGAGAACCCTCTGAAATCTCAAGTTGATGGTAAGCGTCCTTAACATCGAGCTTGGAGAACTTCACAGCGCCAGCCACCCCAGCCAGTAATTCCTCAATCAGCGGAAGCGGATGTGATTCGCGGAGTACAGCTTGGTTAGCCCGACGCATATCCACACAAAGCCTTATGTCACCAGATTCTTTAAGAATCGGTACCACTGGGGAAACCCAAGCTGACGGCCCATTAACTTTCTCAAGGATGTCCTTATCGAGCAGGTACTCCAACTTGTCGTGAATTTTCTCTTCCAGCGCAATTGGTGCTCGTCGATAAGGTTGACGGACAGGTTGAATCGTCTTATCAATTGGAATCTCCACAACAATCCCCTTGATTTTCGGAAAAACTATCTTACGCATCTCGGTCACTGATGCTACTTCGAATCCCACCTTCAGAACTTTTAGTTCCTTAGCTGTGACATCTCCCAGTAAGTTCTGTTGACCGTTCTTTACCACATAGAACTTCGCAGTTGTCTTGTTATCGCCAGCCATTATCTCTGCCCAAAACATACACCTAATTTGCATTGACAGTTTCGTAGCATATGCCACAAGCTTACGGTCAACGACCGACGTGATTTCGAACGTTTCTATTCCTGCAGCTTTGACTTGTTCCCATGTCGCTTCTCCAATTATATTGGCATCTGCTCCCGAATCAATGACCATGGAAATCATAACTCCACCGACACTAAAATCGAAGGTATTTTTCCCCATAGCGTAGAAAACTGCCTCCTCTTTCTGGTATTCCGGTCCAACTTCATCGACCAGGTTGACCCGTTTTGTTCTCGAAGGTGCCTGATCATTTCCAGCAGCGCGCTTCAAACAACGGTTCACAAAATGCCCGACTTCACCACATTTAATGCATTTAGCATTCCGTGCCCTGCAACCACTGTCGCCTTTCAAATGACCCTTCCTTCCACAAGCAAAACAAGATCTGTTGGACCTGTAC